CTTCCTTCTAAATAATAATAACCTTGCCAGTATTTCGCCGACATATCCCCAACATTTGCATGCTCTTCAAAACATTTCCAAGCCGTATCATATTTTTGTCTTTTATGAGCCAACAAACCTTCTTTGAATGGAGTGAATGGAGTTAATGGTATAATAGAATTATGATCCGAAATTGAGAAATTTGGTATATCCTCATCAGAACTCTTTAAGACATGTTTTTCATATAATCTTTGTAGCATATTGAAAATTTGTTGAATTCCTGGACGTAATGATGGTTCTTGTACCCAACCAAGTTGAATAATTTCACAATACTCTGTTTGAATTGGATCAAGACACGATATAGTTTCTCGATCACCTTTTTGAACATGCTTTTGTATTTCAGACATGCTCATGTTTTCATATGGCTTTTTCTGAAAGCCAAGTTCCCAAAGAAGCATCACAAAGCTAAAAAAAAAAAAAAAAAAAAAAAAAAAAATTATTTTAAATGAAAAAAAGTAAGAGAAGAAATTCTTTTTTTCTTTTTTAAAAAAAAAAAATAAAAAATAAAAAAAATAAAAATGAAACCGTTCTACTGACCTGAAAATATCACATTGAATGGTATAACTACGAGCTTTATTCGCTTTCGAATTTTTATCCGGAGATATATGTTCTAGTTTTTCAGGAGCCAACCAATGTATAATATCTTTCATATCATCAATTGGACTGGTGGTAGCATTAAATTCACGAGAGAATTTGAAATTGCATAGTTTGGGTTGCATTTTTTCGGTAATTAACACGTTCTCACACCTAATATCATGATGCAAAATCTCCACTACCAATAAAAGACAAATTTTACGTCAACTTTTTAATAATGACACGTCATTCACAAAGAAAGAGAGAATCATACCTGTATGCAAAAAAATCAATCCACGACAAATATCTCTTGCGAAAGAAATCTTTGCATCCCATTCAATAGTATATTTCTGATATAATTCACGTAGAGTTCCGTATTCGGCCCATTCAAAAACCATTACATCACCTATATCTAATTTTGATAGTCCATAAAATTGAATAATGTATGGACTAGCTTTCAATTTTCTCAAAATAGCGAGATGCCTTTGGTTAATCTTTTCCGTATAAAAGTGTTTACAAGCAACTTCCTTTTGTTCATAAATTTTTTTCAAAACCGTTACCTTACTACCTTTGCGCCTGTTGGGTTCCGCAGCATCTTTCAATTTCGAAGCTTCAATTTGTCCAATAATATTAGATTCAGTTTCAAATTTTGAGGTTTCATTGGTGGTTTCATTCAGATAACGAATATTATCAATTTCCCCGTTAAGCGGAGTAAAATTAAGTTCACGTTTGTCCTTGCCCGCCTTGTATTCTAAGAGTTCGTTATTTTGTTTAATAATTTTGTCATTCTGTTCAATATTATTAAATTTAACGGCGATCTTTTTATTATTTTGAACATGTAAAACGGTGGTATGATTCATCATATATGTAATACCACCTTCAATATTGTCTAGAAATTTCTTCATTTCGATAATATCAGAACTTAAAATTGAAATCAATTGTT